AACTTGAAAAATGACTAAAATTAGACCTATTACGAGTTTATTATCTTTAGAATGTATTATATGACGAATGCACGATCGTTAAAGGTGGATTTGGTCGAAAACAACTATAACAAATATATATTCGTTATTTCTATGTTATAACGAATATATATTCGTTATAGTTGTTTTCCGACTAATTCGAGCTTTCTTTATGATTGACCGAGATTGTACTAATTTGACTTCAATTAGATTAATTCGAGTTCGATTATATTATAATTGACCTAGATTGTTCTAATTTGACTTTAATTGGACTAATTCGAGTTCGATTATATTATAATTGGCCGATATTGTACTAATTTGACTTCAATTAGATTAATTTGAGTTCGATTATATTATAATTAACCGAGATTGTACTAATTTGACTTTAATAGGACTAATTTGAGTTCGATTATATTATAATTGACCGAGATTGTAGTAATTTGACTTCAATTGTACTAATTTGACTTCAACTAGATTAATTCGAGTTCGATTACATTGTAATCGACTTCAATTGTACTAATTTGACTTCAATTGGACAAATTTGACTTTAATTAGATTAATTCGAGTCCAATTACACTATAATTGACCGAGATTGTACTAATTTGATTTCAATTGGACTAATTTGACTTTAATTAGATTAATTCGAGTTCGATTACATTATAATTGACTTCAATTGTACTAATTTGACTTCAATTTGACTAGTTCGAGTGCGATTACACTATAATTAACCGGGACTGTACTAATTTGACTTCAATTGTACTAATTTGACTTCAATTGGACTAATTCGAGTTCGATTACATTGTAATTGACCGAGAATGTACTAATTTGACCTTAATTATATAAATACGAGCTTGATTACATTATAATTGACCGAAATTGTACTAATTTAACTTTAATTATATAAATTTGAGTTCGATTACATTATAATTGACCGAGATTGTACTAATTTGACTTTAATTATATAAATTCGAGTTCAATTACATTATAATTGACAAAGAATGTACTAATTTAAATTTAATTATATAAATTAAAGTTTGATTACATTATAATTGACCAAGATTGTACTAATTTGACTTTAATTGGACTAATTCGAGTTCGATTACATTATAATTGATCGAGAATGTACAAATTTCACTTTAATTATATAAATTCGAGTTCGATTACATTATAATTTACTGACATTGTACTAATTTGACTTTAATTGGACTAATTTGAGTTCGATTACATTATAATTGACCGACATTGTACTAATTTGACTTTAATTGGACTAATTCGAGTTCGATTACATTATAATTGACCGAGAATGTACTAATTTGACTTTAATTATATAAATTCGAGTTTGATTACATTATAGTTGACTGAGATTGTATTAATTTGACTTTAATTGGACTAATTCGAGTTCGAATACATTATAATTGACCGACATTGTACCAATTCTTTATTTGGTCGAAAAAAATTATTTCTACATTCTTTATTTGGTCGAAAAATATGATTTCTACATTCTTTGTAAATTCACTATTTTAACTTAAAATCTTTACAAATTCTTAATTTGACATGAAAAAATGATTAAACTTAGACCGATAAAGAGTTTAATACCTTCATAATGTTTTGACTTAATATTTGACACTCGTTGCGTCCGCGACAGGAATTTTTTTGTTTTTTCGAAATAACGAATATATATTCGTTATATTGAAATAGTTGTATGTCACGGTCGCGACATGTGTCGCGGACGTGACACTGGGACATCTACAATGGACAGAGAGCATGGTCCCAGTGTCGCGGCCGCGACACTCGTCGCTTCCGCGACAAGAATCTTATTTTATTTTTTCAAAATAACAAATATAAGTTATGTAATACACATAACGAATATATAATCGTTATATCTAAGTGTCGCGGACGCGACACTGGGACATCTACAATGGACAGAGAGCATGGTCCCAGTGTCGCGGCCGCGACACTCGTCGCGTCTGCGACAGGAATCTTATTTTATTTTTTCAAAATAACAAATATAAGTTATGTAATACACATAACGAATATATAATCGTTATATTTAAATAGTTGTATGTCACGGCCGCGACATGCGTCGCGGACGCGACACTGGGACATCTACAATGGACAGAGAATATGGTCCCAGTGTCTCAAAATAAAGAATATATATTCGTTATGTGCATGACATAACGAATATATATTCGTTATATTGAAATAGTTTTATGTCACGGTCGCGACGCGTGTCGCGGGCGCGACACTGGGACCTCTTAAGATTGGACAGAGAACGTTGGCCCAGTGTCGCGGGCGCGACAATAATTTTTTTTCTTTTTCAAAATAACAAATATATATTCGTTAGTCATTCAAAAAATGATTATATAATCGTTATATTAAAATAGCTACTTGTCACGGCCGCGACTCGTGTCGCGGACGCGACTGGGACCGCTTTAGAAT